AGCCATGCTGGCTGGGGAATTCTGGGAGTTGAAGTCCACGCATCTTCAAGCCGCCAAGGTTGAGAAATACTGTCCTAGAGGGCGCTCTAGGTTGTTGTTGGTGTTGTTTGCTGCTGGTGCTTGTTCGTGCTTAGAAATGCTGTTAATAAGCACCTTTTAACTTACAGAATCATAAGAGACCATGGACTAATCAATCTCAGAAAGTTTCAGAGTAAGTACCTGAAGTAGTTGACCTTCATTTGATGCTGCCTCACTAAAATTAGTCGGAAACAGTGCCACTTGATTCACATTTTAACTATGGCTTGCTCTTCATGTAATTATGTCTGAGATAAATGAAAGACAAGTTACAGGCTTCTGGGGTAGGAAAACATCTGCTAGCCTAGATCTATTGTGTAATTGAAGCAGACTCTTGGATGGGAAGTCTCTGAGACCTCCATGGAAAAGCAGCATATGCATTTTTAAAATGTGCAGCGTTCTTTTACAGTGGTGAAGCATTTGACATTTGTTCCCCAAAATCATCTAGACCCCCTTTGACTGGTTAGCTTAGTTATATCTGTCTTCACTGCCTCATTTATCCTACTGAAACCTATGAAAGGTTTGGCTTTCTCTGGTTAGAACATTTTGATTTCACTCCTCCTCCTTTCAGTACTAACATACAAGCGTGTGGAAGGTGTTAATACCTGTGCCCACACAACATCAACCATGTTAGTGTACCAGGTTGTGGCAGATATTTAAGTGGGGGGATGAAGGAAGGACGATATAAGGCTTAAACCGGTCTAAATTCCAATTATATTGATAAGAGTCTAGAATTTGGAGAACCCCCATAAAGTAGTAAAAGAGAACATTTTAAGGTGATGTTGGCTACTTCTGTCTGATCTTAGCACTGTGCAAAGTGTTAGGAATTCTGGGATTGCAGTCTCAACCAGGGGTGTCTTCATGCATCCTCACTGCAACCACGTGGTTGTGGCCCCCATCTTGACTTTTTGACACCCCCCTCCTCCCCATGGATGCCCTGGTGTCAGCTTATCAGCACAGCAGCATTTGGGGAAATATGACTTTAGTATTATATTCTTGACTCAGTATACATTAAGAGTGCCACTTTCGGTGCATTTGTCTTGCAGTTCTGGAAAGAAGATATCCAAAAAAGGTTCAAGATCTCTATGAGACAATGAGGCGCTTTGCAAGAATATTGGGACCAGTGGAACATGATAAATTCATAGAGAGCCATGCACGTAGGCATTTTTAGTTTGTCTTTTTCATATTTATTTACCTTTCTCATGGGAGAGAAATTTTTCGGGGATGGAAGGCTCAACCCTGAATGTAAAATACATCTTGGTGCACTTGATATAGAATTACTGTGTTTCTTGCCACAAAATGAAAGACAGAGAACGCCTGTTTAGTGAATCATGATCTGCTTAGTGGAGGATGATGTAAAGTTGGAGCTTCTCTAAGCTTTTCATAAAAAAGAGTGGTATTGCCCAGACTCACACACATTGAATTTGCTTTTGCCTTCATTATATTGCTTTCTGTAAACCATTTATATACTGCTTGTCATAAAATATTTCAAAGAGTAAAAACAGGGATAAAATAACCATGTTCAAATTAAAATGGATAAGGAGTGAATTAATGAATGCAATATAATAATTAAAAATCTACCATTCATACAGGGAAGATTGCATGGTTAATTTATTTTTTCTACTTTTAGTTGATGAGCCTGCTTGAGTTTTAGCACTTCAGTTATAAAATGTGTTGACCAGAATGGGTATTACAGCTGCTTTGGATGGCTCTTAGTAGAGGAAATCAGTATGTAAATAAAATACTGGTCTGTGTGCACAACACATAGTTTCCTTTTACACAGGCCCTAAAGAAAAGCAGTAATTATCTTGTCAGAAATTGTTGCTTAGAAGTTAAACAATTTTATTTTTCTTTTCCTGAAACAAAATACCATGTGTGCAGTTCTGGCTATCGTTTCCCAAACAAAGCAATAGGGTTTTAAAGGGTTGATGCAGACGCACTGAGAATTGGAATAAACCCAATTAAATTAATTAGAGAAATTAAACAGATCGATCTCTTACCTTTAATAAGGAATGTAAGAACAAAAGCCTCATCCTTGTGTCTTTAAAAGGAAGTATGTATACACAACCCACTACAATACCATCTAATAAAATGGTAGTTTGGAGACCTTCGGAGATCTTTCAGCTTACAAAAACCTCAGAGTGACTTTTCAGTGAAATGTCCCTAACTCAAAATGGGGTGTTCCACATTCAAAATATTTGATTTGAAATGTTTTGCACAATGTTAATTCGTCTTAATTACAGGTCCCAAGGACTGAGCCAGAAACCTTACCTGTTGTCCATTTCTGTAAATTAATATTGTAAAAATATAGAACCCATTTAGAATTTTTACCAGTGTTTTTCAAGAGTTTGGTTTTTACCTTTGACAAGTGCTGAATGTCATTTTTCACTGTCAGTGTTTTACTCAGTTGTTTTACTCATTTTGTCAGTTGTTGATACGTGGAAACTGCTTTTGTCCACAGGAATGATCAGAACAGCTCACAGCCCTCAGTTTGGGTTTTCTCCTTTCAGAGCTGAATGAGAGGTGCCATCGGCCCCATTGCCTCACTGCATTTCCACCATCAGTGCAGGGTTGTGACAACCCTGCAGCTGACTGGAAGCACCTTCACAAAGACCACTTTTCTGTTCATTGAACTGGAAAATTAGTCTAACTGATGCTCTAAGGCAGTGTTCCTCAACCTCAGCAACTTTTAAGAAGTGTGGACTGCAACTCCCAGAATTCCCCAGCCAGCTATGCTGGGAGTTGAAGTCCACACATCTTATTGTTCAGGTTGAGAAACACTGCTCTGGAGAGAAGAGCTTGGAGATTGGATATAGACCATTAACTACCAGGGCCAGATTAGATCCTTTCTCCCTCTCACACATAGATACATATCTCAAATATAATATTATCAATTTTAGGTGCCATGAGTTGCTTTAGAAGCCAATTTTAGCCAAGTGGCATGCTGTAAATCAGAAGTGAGCTGTTTTTTTGTGACTAAGAGCTGCATTTTTCTGGGGAATTCTGGGAGTTGAAGTCCACACATCTTATTGTTGCTCAGGTTGAGAAACACTGTTTGGGGTGGTTTAGTTGGGGTGGTATAGTGTTAAAGGTGTTGGACTACAAACAGGGAGACCCAGCTTCAATTCTGTCATCAGCTACAAAAACTCTCTGGGTAACTTTGGACCAGTCCCTCCCTCTCAGCCCAAGCATTGGTGTGATGCAGTGTTAAAGATGCTGATTAAGAGTGTGGAGTCATGGAACCTCCCTGGGGACTTTGGGCCAGTTCTTCTCTCTAAATCAGTCTCCTCTCTAAGTCAGTCTGGTCTAGTGGGGAAGGCACTGGACTAGGAGCAGGGAGGCCCAGGCTCAAGTCCCTCTTCAGCTGCAGAAGCTTCCTGGGGGACTTGGGCCCATCCTTCTCTCTCATCTCAAGAGCCAGTCTGGTCCAGTGGTGAACTAGAAGCAGGGAGATCCCATAGAAGCTCCCTGGGGGACTTCACGCTCTCTTAGCCCAGCCTACTCCAGAGTTAAGCTCTCATCCCAGCCCAATAAAATTATCATGATGCTTCTACTGCTTAAAGAAAGAACAGGATATTTTTGTCTTTTTTTTTTTTATCATACTAACTTTTTACTTCTACATTTTAACATGTTGCTTTTTTGTTGAAGTTTTTAAATGTTTGTTTTATACTTTATACAGCACATAAAGTATCTGTTTTAAATACAAATAATAAATCTGTAAAAACAGAGGGCCACAACTTAACCTGTTCTTTATTTTTTTTTCCTTCATTTTTCCATTATTCTAATGGGGACACAGTGGAGTTTGAGCTGCGAACTGAAATCAAACGCCTACAGGAATACAGGGTAGCAGGAATCACCAATTTCTGCAGTAAGTATGAACTAGATCAGTGTTTCTCAACCTCAGTCACTTGAAGATGTGTGGACTTCAACTCCCAGAATTCCCCAGCCAGCCCAACAACTACCTGGACTGTACTTACAAGTGCATACTAAATAATAATTCCCATACTATCTAGTCCAGTGTTCCTCAACCTCAGTCACTTGAAGATGTGTGGACTTCCAACAACTACCTGGACTGTACTTACAAGTGCATACTAAATAATAATTCCCATACTATCTAGTCCAGTGTTCCTCAACCTCAGTCACTTGAAGATGTGTGGACTTCAACTCCCAGAATTCCCCAGCCAGCCATGCTGGCTGGGGAATTCTGGGAGTTGAAGTCCACACATCTTCAAGTGACTGAGGTTGAGGAACACTGGACTAGATAGTATGGGAATTATTATTTAGTATGCACTTGTAAGTACAGTCCAGGTAGTTGTTGCTTACCTTGTGCAGCAACCTTTCACAGTTATGATGGCGGAAAAAAACCCAACTTTGCGGCCAGTCCTCACATTTACAACGGTTGCAGCATCCCATGGTCACATGATTACGATTCACGTATTTTCCAACTGGCTTGCGACCAGCAGAGTCAGTAGAGAAGGTGGAAGTAAAATCGTAAGTCAAAGTCGTGTGATTTTTTGCTTAGTGATTGTGGCACTTTGCTTAACAATCGAGTGGGAAGTAAGGTTATAAGCCCATTGTGGTCACGTGGTTTTCCACTTAGTGGCCACAGTGCTTAGCAACCAAGTTGCTGGTCCCAATTGTGGTCACTAAGTGAGGACTGCCAATACAGATAAATTGTCTGTGTCTGTTGTGTGGTACTGCCACTCCTAAATCAGAAAAGTCACTTGTGTTTTGAAACCTAAGCTGTTAGTGACAACCAGCACTCTGAATAGAAGAGTGCCTTGGATATTTAGGGAATGCCCCAGATGGCAATTGCTAAATTCTGCAGCAGTGACCAATTCCCAGTGCACCTGAGAATGAGCTAGCTGACTCACAAACCCATGTGAGTACTTTTCATCAGAGAATACGGTAACTATGTGCTCTGTCATTAGAGTCCAGCTTCCTGCAAGAAAAAAATAATCTGCTGTCAGCTGTGCCCAACAATTCTTAGTATGAGAGTTCAAACCATCAAATATTCAGGATCCCAAAGTAAGCCTTGTTTTTGCAATAAATTACTCTAGGAGAATGAACCCTGAACTCATTTCAGTCTCATACTGAAAACAAGTTAGTAATCAGTTAGCAGAGCGGGGGATGCTCAGCCTCACTCTGGCATCCCAGTATAAAATGGGCACTATAAATACAAGCAGAACTGGTCTTTTCCAGCGAGCGTTACAGGTAGACCTCAGTTAACGACCACTCGTTCAGTGACCGTTCAGAGTCATGATGGTGCTGAATGAGTGGTGGTTACAACTGATCCCCGAAGTTCCAGCTGTCCCAGCATCCCCACAGTCATGTGATCGCAATCTGGGTGCTTGGCAATTGGCTCGCACTTACAACGGTTGCAGTATCCCATGGTCACATAATCGCGATTTGCAACCTTCCCTGCCAGCTTTCCACAAGCAAAGTCAGTGGGGAAGCCAGCAGGGAAGGTTGCAAGTTGCTCGGGTAGGTCTCCCCCACCTGCACCCCAAGCCCCACTGCTCCCACGCTGTGTCTCCCCCACCCCTCACGCATCTTCTCCCACCCGAGAGCAGCCACCCCATGCCCCGCCACACTTATGCTGTGCCTCAAGGCCACCTGCACACCCCCTCACTCCCTCTCCACCCAGCAGCAGCCACTTACCTGCCTGCCGGCCTGCTTGCAAGCTGCCTGGGACTTGCAACTTCCTGCCGACTTCCCTGCTGACTTTGGTTGTTGGAAGCCTGCAGGAAGTTTCAAGGAGGTGCTCACTTAATGACCCATGATCCTCAGTTAACCATGGCAACGGGGACTGCAGGGATTGCTGTCGCTAAGCGATGTGGTCACACTTTATGACCACATCACTTAGCAATGGAAATTCCAGTCCCAGTTGCCATTGTAACTCGAGGACTATCTGCATTCTGAAAAAACCCTATAGTCAGGTTATGGAAACAACGAATTTGGGTTTACCTCTTATTATGCACTCAGAGAACCATAGCCTATTCTTGCTGTCTAATATGAACTGCAGTAGTCATTTATATATGGTAGTAGTTCTTAGTAGTCATGAGAAAATACGTTTCCTAGCTTATATTGCACCTCTAGCAAATCTGCGTGACTTCTCAGGAAATTTCAGACACTTTGATTTCATTGCACCTGATTTTTTTTTACAACTAGGTAAGAATTATTTATAGCCGTATTCAGTTTTCACATGGTCTGATAAACATTAGGATTGTTTTTTTCAATGATTCCTTGGCTATGTGCAGTCTTAAGATTTAGTGGTAAGGGTTAGCATTTTACCACATTTTACATTTATTATCTTTGCACAGATGAAAATTTGGTTACTTTTGAAGGGGCAAAATTACTTGGGTTTTTTTGACGACTTTTTTTTTTTTTGGAAAATCTGCCACAGCAGGCCTCTTACACACACAACTCTCCTCTCTGTTCTCTGGGCACAGGTGCGAGGACGTATGATCGCCTCAAGAAGGTGCGCGAAGAGGAGCGATTAAAACGCACCATGCTTTCCGAAGTCCTTCAGTACATCCAGGACAGCAGTGCCTGCCAGCAGTGGCTCAGCCGACAAGCTGACATGTGCGTCCCGGTTTGCTTTGGGCTTAAAAGAAAAGAAATTGGGTATTTTTTAAACTGTCAGGTTTGCTTGAGGAATGAATGATTAGATCAGTGTTGTCCAAACTTGGTCACTTTAAGATGAGTGGACGTCAACTCCCAGAATTCCCCAGCCAGCATGAGTTGAAATCCACTCGTCTTAAAGTGGCCAAGTTTGGACAACACTGGATTAGATAGTATAAAAAAAAATAAGCCACTAGTTATATATCCATCTTTTGAGAGCTCTGTCAATCTTGGGTGAAAATACAGGATAAGTTCAGGTTTCTTTTATAAAAGAAGGAGGGGACTGGCCCTTTTAAGGACATTCCCAGACAAAGCAGATATCCCTATTTTCCCAGATATGAGCAATTGTTCTTGGGAAGCAGGATGTGCACATGCTGTGCCAAGCCAGGCAAGAATCCAACCATCTCTGGCTTCTGAAAATTGTGCAGCCACAGCACACCCGAGTTCTGGCACTCTCCTGCATCTGTGGCTGACATCACCCCCAACTTCTAGTCAAATGTTGGGACCAACAATTAGGAACACCCCACACACACACACAACTGGCATGAGCATGAGACCTCCATCCAGGTTCTTCAGAGACGACTGGCCTCAACCTCATGTCCTTTGTGGAATCCAGATTGACCACCCCCAGAGTCTTAATGCTTTTCTGAGCTCATTCACTCCTAGAAGCAACAGAGAGAAATCACAGGGAGGCCTTTATCTTCTCGGCAAAGGGAAAAGGTGGTGGGGCTCAGCTGAAACTGCGCTTTGTTGCCACCCTCCCCCCTACTGCCCCCAAATAATGTGCCCCCTTGATTCAGTCTAAGCTTCCCCAAACCCTGCCTTTATTGGTTCTTTTCTCTGGGAGGCCAGCACTCTGTCTTCTCTTGGTCCTCAGCTGCTTATGGGGTTTTTGTTCTCCCAATCTGTTGCTCAGCTGCACAATGCTACAGCTAAAGAGTGATACTTATGCATCCCTGGCCACCACATTGGGTCACCTAGCTGCTGTCTGCTGAAGACATATGGGGCACATGGCAAGAAACAAATTATGTAAACTCAGGATGTGGCAGGAGAGAACATACTGAATGAGGCATGCAAGCAGTGAAGGAAGAGGAGATGCCCACCTTGGGGGTCTGCAGACACAGGGAGCCTCCTTGCAATGCAACCTTTAATCCTGAAATGAAAGCAAACTTGGTAGCACAGGGCCTTGGAGCTGGAGGGAGGAGAAAGACCTGCTATTGCTGTAATACTACTACATCTCTTCCTCCTATGCCGCTCACCTCAGCAGCAACAGCACCTCTTCTTGAACTCATTTATAGAAGAGATACAGCTAGTCCTCGCTTAACGACCACAATTGGGACTGGCAACTCCATTGCTGAGTGACACAGTTGTTAAGCAAGACATCTTGTGACCACACCTGACTTACAGCGTCACTTTTCCCCACAGTTGTTAAGCAAATCACCACAGTTGTTAAGCGAGGCATCGCATGACTGCAATTTGTGATATCACTGCCAGCTTCTCCATTGACTCTGCTTGTCACTGTGAAGTGTGCAAATGGCAATCACATGACTGCGGGACATCATAAGTGTGAGGACCAGTCATAAAGTTACTTTTTCAGTGCTGTCATAACTTTGAATGGTTGCTAAACAGGGCAGTTGTTAAGCGAGGACTACCTGTACATTGCAGGAAACCCTCACCAAGTTCAGGCCTACTACTACAGCTGGAGAAGCAACCATGTGACCCACTTTCCCTTTCTTTCTCCTCAAGGGCTGCAGCCTGGAAGCAGCTAGCACATCGCTTATTTCATCATGGGGGAAGGGAGGGATCTGAGAGCTTTGCCTTGGGGCCCAGAGAGGTCTACTTAACCCTAATGTGTGGAACTTACTTTCTGCTAACCTGCTTCATTTTTTCCCCCATTTACAGCGATTCTGGCCTGAGTCTCACAATACCAGTTACATCAAATTCAGGTATTTTCTTCCATGCTCATCCATCAGTTGTTATGCTGAAAAGGGAGTCGGGCTCCCTAACTATTAATGCGCTCGCCATCTCTCCAGTTTGAGAAGGAAGGCCTTGGTGAAAACTGTTCTGAAAGATTGGCAGGTTTCTGGTTCTCACTCCCTTCTTTGCAGAAGGCCACAAATGGATAAGTAGGAATTGTTTTGTTTGTCATGTGCTTCTAACTGAGCACAGTGGAAACACAATAAAATAACCATAAATATTAAAATCAATTTAACCTCCTAATGTAACATCAGCTGCACGTAAGCTAAAATGCACGCAACATATATCAACATAATTCATTCAAATTAACAGGAAATGTTTTTTTTAAAATGACTTCAAAGAGCCCATAAAAAAGAAGCAGTTGTGGTGGTTTTTCAAACTTACAAGTGCCCAAAGTAGGGTTTTTTTCAGCAGATTATTTTCAGTACAGACTCCTTGGTGCTCTCTGAGCTTGGTTGTTTGCTTACAGGCATTTCATGACCCGACTGTATCAACAGTGCTAGTGAGTGTGGGGTTTGCTCCCTGTTTATATACAGTTTTCTGCTTGATTGTTTGCCTGGTGTTTCTACCAAGGAGAAAATCACACCTCCACCAACACTAGCAGGGCAAGCCACTGTATATAAACAGGGAGCAAACCCCACACCCACTTGCACTGATGATGTTACCTAGTTGGGTCATGAAACGTCTGCAAGCAAACCACCAAGCTCAGAGAGCACCAAGGACTCCACAGTTCAACTCTGAGCTACAGATATTCTCTTCTCTTGGTAATTGCAGTATGCTACACAAACAGCAATCCAGAAAGTCACGATAGAACATTAGAAAACTTGCAGTGAAGCAAGCAGCGCGCACAAGAAACACACCCTTTCCAGAATTACCAGCCAACTGGATTTAAGAAAGCCAGGACATCCCATGACATGTTACAGCAATGAAGCATTTATTACACACATCCCTGTGACATATTCACACTCATTATGTACATGACTGATTGTTTGACAGGTGTTCACAAGAATGTGCAGCATGCACCCATAAAATGGGTCCTAGGATGTCTTTCCCCAATCAGGATCTTGATATTAAATTGGGAATCATTAGAACACAAATGAGGCATATATGAAACACATTAGCAATTAATGTTACTTGTAGGACCTCAAAGGGGAAGGGAAGCTATTGAATGTAGATGATGATGATGATGATATTTATTTATTTATTTATTTATATTTCAAATTTATATGCCACCCGTCTCACGAAAAAGTGACTCTGGGTGGTTCACAATAAATAATGATATGACAAATAAATGATGATGATGATGATGATGATGCAAGAATGTCTATGTTACATCCAACAACTTGGAAATACAAGCTTTGGCCTGTCTAGTCCAGTTTTCTGAGTTACACTAGCCAAATAGGCACCCTTAGGGAGTTCATAAGCTTCTAGGTGTAGCTCATGAGTTTGCCTAGCCTTTTTGAAAGCCATCTAAAATAGTGGTCTGACATTATTCCATTCCACCATTCAGCTACAGATTCTGTAAAGAAGGGTTCCCCTTGATCAGTTTTGAATCTCTCCACATCTAGTTTTAATGGATAGTTCCAATTTCTAATATTAGGAGAGACAGAATCTTCTTTTTATCCATCTTTTTCTTTCTGTGCATGGTTTCAGATGCCTCTCTTCTGTCTCCCTTCACCTGCATTTGCTCCAAGCTAAAAACTTGCAGGCTGTGTTCTTTTTTTCATTTTAAGAACAACCACTGTCCATAAGGTAATTATCACTGGCATTTCATTTCCCTCTGAGCTCCCTGTTTACATTTTCTCCCACCCACTCCTTGGTGTATATATAGTCCTATTTCAGAATAACTGTGAATGTATCTGGTGGACTTCAATCATGCCACCATAAGCGTGTTAATCTTTAAGGTGGCACGGGACTCTTTTGTAGGCTTTGCTGCAATAGACTAAGACCACGGGAAATAATAGTGGCATTTCTCTTGTGACAGCTCATTGCCTAGTAAATGCTCCTACTCATTTACTTAACTGCATCTTTCCAGTGACTACCTCTCATAATGTGAACAAGTTTCAGTGTGAATCATTCAGCTACATTTTTGGTGTCTGATGGGTAACTTGCTCAGGGCTTGAACCTGCTCAGTAAGACCACCCAAGCCTGTCAGATGTGTTCTGAATACTCAAAATTGCCTGTTCTCTGCATGGACAAGTATGGCCCAACACACAGTAGCCATAAGGGGACATTTGGCTTCAGATGTCCACTAAATCTAATGGCTCTTCTAAGGGAATTACTTTTCCCAGCTTTATGATAATGCCAAGTATTGCACACCATGATCCTCAATATGCTCCTTCATTTCCTGCAAAATATCCTGAAACACCAATTAACTTGGTGGGGCTTAATTGCTAAATAAACCCTTGGAATCGTAGAATCATGATTCCTGCCCAGGGAAGAATTCTCAGACCATCGCAGACAACCAGCCACCTAACCTTTGCTTGAAAACTTCCATTGATAAAGTCCTCCATGATTCCAGGAGGTAGGCTGTTCCAAATCTTCATAGCTCTCATGGTCAGGAAATTCCTCCTCCTCTCACGTTTGGATCTGCCTTTGTAAAGCCTCCACCTGTTAGTTCTTGTTCCATCCTCAGACCAGCGTTTCTCAACTTCGGCAACTTTAAGATCTGTGGACTTCAACTCCCAGAATTCCCTAGCCAGCCATGCTGGTTGGGGAATTCTGGGAGTTGAAGTCCACACATCTTAAAGTTGCTAAGGTTGAGAAACACTGTCTCAGACACTATGGAGAATGTAACTGCTTCCTCTTCTGTGGGACAGCCCTTCAAGTATTGGAAGACTGCTATCATGTCTCACGTTCAAATCCCATAGGATCCTGTTAAATTCTCTAGATTACCATTGAAATGCAGAGGTTTATAGCAAAGGCAAGTCAAGAAATTACCTTATTCTCCTCTGAGGAGCCTTCCCCTTGGGTTAAAGACTCCCAAATATGTTAGTACAGCATTAAG